TTTTTTTTTTTTTGAAAGAAAAAAAAAAAAAGCCCGCAGGAATTTAGTCAGTTATTTTTGGGGTGAGGGGAAAAATCTAAAATTTCTTGAGACAATGGGAGAGCCCTTGAGATGAGGCCAAGTCTGGGTCAGGCTGCCTCTGTGCTACCCTCATGCGCTGTGACAAGGACAAGTGGCACTGCAGGGAGGGGGCAGCCAAGCAGTTGGGACAGGGCCTTGGAGGGGGACAGCTGGGGCGTGTAGCCCTGGAACTGTCATACAGCAGTGCTGGGTCAGGCGGGTTCTCAGCCCTCTGTGCATCAGTCCACTGCCACTTGCACCAGTGTGGAGCTCCGAGCAGAACTCCACAGCATGCTGTTGCTGTTATTTTTACTTGGCGCGGGGAACACAGGCTTTATTTACATGATCGCATTTATTCTTTCAACCGCCCTTGGAGGTGGGCACCGCTGGCTCCATCTTTAAAATGGGGGGGGGCTGACTTTGGGAGGGTGAGTCTCGTGCTCAGATGAGGACTCTAGAACCTCAGCCCTTAACGCTCGAGTCCAGAGGCCAAGTTTCACCCGGAGCTGCCCTGGTTCAGTGGCTCAGGCGGGTGACTGTACCTACAGCAGTGGGATGACGACCCCTAGGCCCGTGAACGCCCCCCGCCGAGCCTTGTGTGTTTCTCTTTCTCGGGCAGAGGCCTGGCAGTCCCAGCAGCATCCTCCTTCCTGTCTCTCTGGCCCTCCGGTCAGCCCTGCTGGATGGCAGCAACCCTACCATCCCGGCAGGGCTAGCGGCTGGCTGGCTAGCGCTGACTCTGCGAAGCACATCAAAGCTTTGTTTGCGTGGGAGGGCACGTGACCGGATCTCCCCAGCCCCCTGCCAAGGCCCTGTTCCCTGGAGCAGAGATCCTCCCTGACAGCTGAGTAACCAAACACATTAGGAAGAGCTGGCTCTGAGGAAAAGAAGAATTAAAACAAAAGAGAAGGCCACCCAACACACGCTGCAAACCACATACAGCTGCCAGAGTCCCGGCCCAGCCCCACCCCTCCTTTCCCCCTTACTCAGCTACAGAAACAACACTGGGGACATGTGGATCAAATTTGCAGCACTTAGGGCACAGGAATAGGAAATTCAGCTGATTTGTCAAAGGATTCCCAGAGAAACATAATGTCGATAGATCTAGTAACAAGAGCTGGCAGCCCCGTTAATAACTGTTCCCTTTCCCAGTCCTCACTCACCCATAGGGGCTTTCACTTACTATCGTGGCAAAAGTAATTTTGAAGCTTTTTCTAATAGCAGTAATGGATAGCATCGTAGCTTTTGCATAGTACCTTTGACTTTTAAGAGACTTTTTCACCTAGTACTTTGTTCTAGCCAGGGAGACAGGGCAGTCATGACTGGTAGCAGCCCCTGCTGGCTTCTATGGCGGGCTTTCTGTGTGTCAGGCACAGTGACAATACATTACATGTGTTATCACACTGAACCAGGACTTCAGGAGGTACTGTTTGCACCCATCTTACAGAGGAGAAAACTGAGGGAAGACAAAGGTGAGTGACTTGCCCAAGGTTACCAGAAATTGGGGCTGGAACTTGAATCTCACCATTCTTGAGCTCCAGCAATGAAATGACCTTCTGACCTGGCCACCCCGTCCTTGTAACACCGAGGATACTTGAGAGGACACGGGTTCTGTGTGGGCTTGAGGCTTGTGTGGGAGAAAGTCAAAGTGAGACCTGGAAACAGGACTCTCCTTTTAGGGCATCTGCAGGTACTTCTGGCTAAGGACTCCTAGAGCTGCAAAACCCTACAGATGCAAAGCTGTCTTGCTCATTCCTTCTATCTTTTCTGAACACAGTTCTAGGGCTGGTCTTCCACATCTGCTCTTAAGACAGCGTCCTTCACGTCCATACTAAAGGTCTCTGTCCCACACAGGCCCATTCCTCAGGAGTTTCTTGGTGAACAGGGTACACATTTTCATCAAATTCTCTCAATACCTCAATTTCTTTTTCTTTTCTCCTAAATTCCCCGATGGGCCCAGGGCAAGGCCTTTCTGGAAGAAGGAATTAAAAATAAAAAGGGTGTCTCTTTTCTTCCATTCTGTAAAATCTTTAGTAAAATGTGCTTATTTCGGTCACGATGGAAACGCAGGCATGCTGGGATACTTCCCTGTAACCCTTCTATTAGCCAACAAGGGCAGCCCTATCCTGGTTAAACTGTAGAGTTACAGAGGAAGTCCGCATGCATCTCTCAGCTCGTTACTGTGAAACGAATTACCAAGTGGGAAGCAGTGTGCATGACTGCTTATCCTCTGCCTCCCTCTGCTATCAGATCAGCATTTCTGTCAGGACAAAGTTCCACTTGACCTGCTTCTGGTGGAACGCGAAGCCTCTATATTTCTCCATCGATACGCAGAGCAGTAACCATCACTGCTTGGTTCTTCTCATACTGGTTGCCCAACCCTTGAATCTTAGAACTCGTTATCCAGTTTCCCAAAGCTGCCTCCTCCTCCACTGTCCGCTGTCTGAGTACAGCATGCATCCACCCAGTTGCCCAGCAAGAGTGAGTCATCCTTATGCACTCTTCCTCCTCCTCCTCAGCCCCAGCCAGCCACCAAGCCTGGCTGCTTCCGTCTCTCAAAAGCCCTGCCACTGTCCCCTGCTCGGGTCACCCTCCTCTGACTCTGTACTTTCACTACTTCTCCTTGCACTTGTGAAGAAATCCAAGTGCCTTTGCACAGATGAGAACAGAGTAAAAAGCATCTTTCTTTCCCTCTCTGAAATTTAGGGAGGAAAATAATTCTGCCAGCAAACAGGAAAATTTCTAGCACCACTCAGGATATCAACAGTTCTGAGGCCTAGGGCACCCGATGCTTGTTTTTCCTAGCTGTCTTCCAAGCGTTGGTCACTGAGTTCTTCTCTGGTCCCTGGGCTGCAAACCAGCCTGCAACCCAAGTTCCTCCCAGGTGATCCTCCACTGGTGTCTACAGAGGGCGCCATTGAGGCAGGCGGGAGCCTTGCCTTCTCTTCTGTGGTTACCAGCCAGGAATTTATCCCAGGTTCTGTCTGTAGAGGTGGCATCTCCTCCAAGCAAGCTCCAAGCCAGAGCAGATGGGCTGAACACGGGGTGACAAAGCAGGCTCCAGTGCAGAGCCATCGATGGGAATTTCCTCTCTGTGTAAAACACGGGTGTCAACTCCATGTCGTTTCAAGCCCCGTCCAATGCTGGATTCTGACTCCCACTGACCTGTGTGTGCTCTAGCACTAAGGGGCCCTTGCAAGCCTTTCCCTGCCAGTCATTCCCCCATTTAACTTCTGAACTGTCAACAGTGGAAACAAAGGGACCTTGCCATTGCTATTTCCTATGGTCTAATTCCCTCCCTCCCAGTTATAACAACACCTCTCCTTCACACACACACACACACACACACACACACACACACACACACACACACTGTAAATGTAAAGGCGTCCTTTCTGTGCAAAGCTGGATAGATCTGTAGTTCAGCTTTTTACCATTCATCAAAAAGCCATCAGGGCTGTGACGTAACTGCCCTCCCAGTCCAACAACCCATTACCGGCTCTCTCCTCAGACTTGTAAATGTTCTTTCGGAGGCAAATGACTCTGGTGTGTCCTCCGGGCACCTTGCAAGCCTGTGTGTGAGCCCCTCCTGCCCTGCCCCTGAGGCCCCACCAGATCTACAAAGCCTCTGCTGAGGCGGCCAAGCCACTGCCTGTCCCGCTTCTTTGACGTGGGAGCCAGGATGCTGCGGATTACTCTTTTACTGCCCTTGTGAGGAAACACAGCAGGCTGGGCCTCTTCTGCCAGTTTCCTCAGGAGCTGGAGGCCCGCGTAGAGTTCAGTCCACAAGCTTCTGAAAGGGAAAGTTGTATCGGTCCAC